CATCTCTTGGACTAAACCAAGGAGTTCAAGAAACTCCCCACTGTGAATCAATAAAGATTTTCTTGTCAGTCTCTGTAAGAAGAGAAGAACATGAGAAAGATTTAGGTTAATGGGCACTGACAAGACAAAATCTCACTACCGAGAAGCTAGAAATATTATTCGGAAGTTGTTTGAGGAACACGACGAATACCGAATTCTTTCGGGAAAACAGATTATTCGTGCCCCACCGATTTACTGTTAGCCCGTGAAAATTGGTGGACTCCTAAAGACCAAACGTTACCTATAGATTTACTCTACCTTGACGTCAGAAAGGTTTTCGACAACGTACCACACAACTAGCTGTTACATAAGTTAAGTAATATCGGGATTGGTGTCAGTTAATCAATGTGGATAAAATATTTCCTAGTTGGGCGTCAACAGAGAGGACGGATGAACTTAAATTTGTCTATTTGAGAAACTGTTCCTGGCAGAGTGCCTCAGGATACAGTTATCGGGTCAGCACTATTTCTCCCGTACGTAGATGACCGTCATAGTCTTATATGATGGTCAACTTTGTTATATGTTGACGATGTCAAGATGTGTGAAGCGACAAATACTAAAAGTGATAGTTTAGAGATTCAGAATGGTCCCGAGTAATTATCTGAATGGTGTAAAATTTATAAATGCTTCCAAGTGCATTATGATGTATATTAGTTATCACTGTACAGATATATACACAGTGAATAACACTGAGCATCCTGTTGTCGAGACACACAGTGACTTAGGAGTCATCATCAGTCAATACATAAAACTACTGTTGTTGTAATCTTGGTGAAATTCGCACCAACTTTCCAACATTTTTGATCATATAATTCGTTCTTTTCTCAGCAATAACTTCAAACCAGTGGGTATTAACTGGCCACTGATTTACTAATTAAAGTCATACTTAGATAACTGGCTCATTAGTGTCGATATAGTCTGTTCTATTTTTTGGGCTTCTGTGTGTTGTGGTGAGAACTTTCCTTTTGTCATATTCAGTAAAGTTCTTTCTTTGGAATCTATCTTGTGAAACACTTCATTTTGCTGATATCTTAAAGCCTTGGAGAGAATTTCACGGTAGACAGAAAAAACTTGTACATCAAGGGGGTTCTGACATGCCTTAAAAAGTAGGCAGACAACAATAGATTCGTACTGACTACGTATGATGAATTTATCTCAGCTTCTGAAGAAAAAGATCAAACCCACCTTTCGGGTTTTCTGGAAAAAATACATCAGTCCTTCTAACCGATTCGCTTCCAACATTGAAAGTTTTCAGGCCTGTGTGCTCGTAGTAAAGAATATGTGTTTATATACTGTTAACATCTGAAATGTGGTCTATTTTCTTACAAAAGACGATTTACAGTCAGATCCTGTGACGTCGCTAACCTCCATTATATGCCACCTCTAGGTAAAAGTTACCACATAGTCCTAGTCGCTGTTCTACGTATGGTTTTCGATAACAAGGACCTATCAGCTCATGCTAGATCAAAAGTTTATAAAGCAGATATGTAAGATATTATACACTCATTATTCTCGTTAGATTGATCAGTAGAACGAGTCTTTCATTGAAACAGCTTCGTATGTATTCAGAAATCTGTACACAAACACGTCAATGCACAGCACATCTCTTGGACTAAACCAAGGAGTTCAAGAAACTCCCCACTGTGAATCAATAAAGATTTTCTTGTCAGTCTCTGTAAGAAGAGAAGAACATGAGAAAGATTTAGGTTAATGGGCACTGACAAGACAAAATCTCACTACCGAGAAGCTAGAAATATTATTCGGAAGTTGTTTGAGGAACACGACGAATACCGAATTCTTTCGGGAAAACAGATTATTCGTGCCCCACCGATTTACTGTTAGCCCGTGAAAATTGGTGGACTCCTAAAGACCAAACGTTACCTATAGATTTACTCTACCTTGACGTCAGAAAGGTTTTCGACAACGTACCACACAACTAGCTGTTACATAAGTTAAGTAATATCGGGATTGGTGTCAGTTAATCAATGTGGATAAAATATTTCCTAGTTGGGCGTCAACAGAGAGGACGGATGAACTTAAATTTGTCTATTTGAGAAACTGTTCCTGGCAGAGTGCCTCAGGATACAGTTATCGGGTCAGCACTATTTCTCCCGTACGTAGATGACCGTCATAGTCTTATATGATGGTCAACTTTGTTATATGTTGACGATGTCAAGATGTGTGAAGCGACAAATACTAAAAGTGATAGTTTAGAGATTCAGAATGGTCCCGAGTAATTATCTGAATGGTGTAAAATTTATAAATGCTTCCAAGTGCATTATGATGTATATTAGTTATCACTGTACAGATATATACACAGTGAATAACACTGAGCATCCTGTTGTCGAGACACACAGTGACTTAGGAGTCATCATCAGTCAATACATAAAACTACTGTTGTTGTAATCTTGGTGAAATTCGCACCAACTTTCCAACATTTTTGATCATATAATTCGTTCTTTTCTCAGCAATAACTTCAAACCAGTGGGTATTAACTGGCCACTGATTTACTAATTAAAGTCATACTTAGATAACTGGCTCATTAGTGTCGATATAGTCTGTTCTATTTTTTGGGCTTCTGTGTGTTGTGGTGAGAACTTTCCTTTTGTCATATTCAGTAAAGTTCTTTCTTTGGAATCTATCTTGTGAAACACTTCATTTTGCTGATATCTTAAAGCCTTGGAGAGAATTTCACGGTAGACAGAAAAAACTTGTACATCAAGGGGGTTCTGACATGCCTTAAAAAGTAGGCAGACAACAATAGATTCGTACTGACTACGTATGATGAATTTATCTCAGCTTCTGAAGAAAAAGATCAAACCCACCTTTCGGGTTTTCTGGAAAAAATACATCAGTCCTTCTAACCGATTCGCTTCCAACATTGAAAGTTTTCAGGCCTGTGTGCTCGTAGTAAAGAATATGTGTTTATATACTGTTAACATCTGAAATGTGGTCTATTTTCTTACAAAAGACGATTTACAGTCTTATGCTGTGATTAAACTAGCAAATGATGCTTCCTCCCTTTTTGTCTGCATAAATTAGTGTACGAAATTTATAATTCTGTAAAATCTTTCGTTTCTGACTTTCTATTTTTTATCATTGCTTAACAGAACTCTTGACGAAATGTTTACGCCATCAATGATATATCACTTGTCATCATCAATAAAGTCAACACTCTACTTCAGATGGACGAATAACTTTGAAAAAGGAAAACAGTTAATACGGAGTGTTTCGTACGCTATAACTTAATCCGAAACGATTTTCCATTCGAAATGTCATTGCTTCTCAATTATCAAAAATCATCGGTCGACAGTGACGTATACGCCTTGGTAGTCAATATAACATGAGCAAATTTGAAGCTCATGTAAGTCAGCTTGTTCTCAAGATGTTTTATGAATTTTAACTACATTTATTCACACGATTTAGAACATGCAAACAGTAATTATTTGTCCTGTTTGAATGAGGTGAAAATAATCTCGAGCGTAATCAAATATGATTCATGATAACCGTTTAGATTTTTAGTGCCTTTTAAACACTGGGATTTATCTGTTATTATATAGGCAGTTCGGAGGAGACCTTGAACGGTGCATAACATTGTCAAGACCCAATGACGTTCGACCCCAAGACGAACCTTTTGCTCAATTGAATGTCAGATATTGAAGATGCCTTTACTAACCAGGAGATTAGTTGACAGTGTGAAATAATAATGTGATAATTCAAGTATTAAGAACGTTCGTGCGCGAGACCGAAGGTCCTGAGATCAAACCCCGTGTGCGTGAACGTGGATTCTCACTACTAAAGAGTCCCACACTAAGACGAAACGGTCAGCCGGTGCTTCCATGTTTTTATTGGAGGTCTTACATTAACCGATTCATGATATCAATCGAAAACTTAGTAATCTCCACAACCCCACACAGATAATAACAAATAAGCTAATTAATTGGTAATACGCGAGAAGACGAAGTTGAAAGAATGTAGGGGGAAACCGAAAGGTCAACAAGAAAGATGGGAGGTAGTTAATGATACGAGACATTGACACTCATCTGGTACGACAGGTCCGAAAGGGGTATACTAATCCATCAGTTAGTAGGTGTTCGGCGAGTCTCACCTTAAAGTTACCCACTACGAGGAGCCATTGGTCACTTAAGCTAGGAGAGCATACTAAACAGCGGCAACTCCTTACGAAAAAAAGTGAGTGGGTACCTGGGTGTTTGTTCTTTTATGTGCAATTTTCAAGAGTTGCCTCTAGGAGTACGGTGGCGATCTTCAGGCGGGATGCTGGTGTTATGGTGACTTCACATAATAAATAGGGTGTATGCCATTACCAGATCACCATTTGTTTTCCCATAGCTCAGCGAGATTAGTCCTAGGTTCAGGAGTCCGTCCTCATAAGATTTATGTTTTAGTCCCAATACTCATTTAGTTGCCCGTCTCTGTACTTAATCTAAGAGATTTTCGTCTCCTTTGAATATAGGGGGAGCAACGACAATGTAAGATTCAAGGTGTGGCCGCGCATAAATTATGAGAAGAGTTGGGAACGGTTCTGGGATGATTGCTTCAAGTTGTCTTCGAGTAAAGTGAAAGGTCGCGTTTTACTTGATTCCTTCCCTTATTTAGTTTCATTTGGTTTCCAAGCTTTCCGTTACTACCAGGCTAGGGTCAAGCACTCAAGAGACAATCTGGAGCATATTTTCATGGAGGACATGAGTTGTTCGAGTCCAATAGGGAGAACGTTCATATCATGACATTTCCATAGGTTACGTTTAGACCCATTGTCGGCTTCCTGGCAGCTCTTGTGATTGAGAAAAGTACCTCAAACCGTACCTAACACTTTCGCGATTCATGTTGAAACACATTTGTCTCGTCCTGGTGATACACTTCCACTATGCACAAATGTTTTTTTAAGGCAAAAACCTAGAAAAACTTTCGGCCTAAAAAATGTAGAAATTCAAACACATCAAATGGTCAAACGTGTTTCCGTTCTCGGTTGCGGTTCTTGGGGTACTGCTATAGTCAAAGTTGTTGCTGACAATGTTGCATCGTCAGGCGAGTTCTATTCTGAGGTTACTTGTCCTGCATATGGTTTTTACCTCACAAATGTTTAGGTTTATTGGTATGTACGAGATGAAGAACATGACGATCAAAGTTTAACCACCTGGATTAATAAAGATCACACGAATCCAAACTACTTATCAAAATTAAAATTGCCTACAAATATTATCGCATCTTCTGACATCAGAAAAGTTGTTGAAAGTGCTGATATTATCATGGTCGTCTATCCTCCGTTTTACATCATATGGTTGGTAAACCATGTCAAAGAATTTGTCAGGGAGAAGGCTTATTTTGTTTCATTTTGTAAAGCAAGTTTAAAAAAAGCTCTTCGCTGCTTTGATCACATCTGGTCTCATGTTTGTATATATCCCTAGTTTTGTAGGATACATACTTTTTATGTAGTTTGTGAGTACCAAACTCTGTCATAGCAGACTTTCGTTGATTAACTTAGACACTTGCTACTGTTAAATTTTACAGAATAATAGGATTATCGGCTAAAATTGCTTAGGAGTTTAAAATATTTGATTTGAGGATCAGATCAGACCAGTTACTTCTGTTAATTATCTAATCCATTCGTCTATTGCTATTTTATTATCACCCTAATTTGAATATCATAAAATTCAAGGGATATAATCACTTATCAAGGTGAAGTGTCAATTGTTGCTGCTATAAAGATCGGTAGTTCAAGTTCATCCAATTTAGACACGTAGTTATTTCGCATGTCTTTGAGTTACTAAACTGCTAGATTACCTTTACTAAGATGACTGTTAATATTGTAAATACGGCAGTCGGAATACGATATAATAAGGAGTGCTGTATTTTACCCATGTCGTGCTAACAAACAGGATATACAGTTACCAGAAATAGGCGGAAGTGTACGTTATATTGTGTTGTTTCAACAATTGTTGTATGAAATATCATGTGAATTCATATTAGCCCATAGACTTAGTACGATGAGATTACCTGTAAAACATAAAATATTTCGTATATATGCGAAAATTTTCAAGGACCGAAGTTTATAACTCGTCACACAAATGGATATAGCATAACCCGTTGGGTGAACATGACTCATTTACTTATGATTTGGTTGTTCAGCCTTATTGCCAATTTAAACAATAACAGGCTTGGTAAGATGGGTTCTATTTTAGCTCTTAATGTATGGGATTAGGCCCATGCTTTAGAACATGAGCTTTCAAAAATATACTTAGTTATGATAAAGGTGTTTTGTCTAATATTTGCTTAGTTTGGTGACAGTCAAAAAATAAACCTAGTTACTGAGAATACTTGCACATCTTTTATACTTGGAACAATATAGACCTTTTTGAGGCAGAAAAAATCGATTATCTACTAAATAATAAAATATGTGTAATTATGCATGCGCTCACCTTTATAGTACAACAAATAAGTAAAGTTGTGGGTCATAAGACAATTATTTATTTTTGTTAGTTTTGAATTAGTTTAATATATTTATAGGAAAGTAATCCCCATACAGAGTACCTTTGGTAAATTTGCTTATAACTTTCTAAGACGTTTTATTTAAGCCGCAAGAGAAAATATAAAGCTTTATTAACGATTATCACTACTATTTTTATTCCTGTTACTGTCAATTAAAATTAATTTATTCATAGACCTTTTTGAGTCTGAACTTGGTGATAGGTTTTGAGAGTTTTGTTAAGTTTTGCCCTACGTAAACATTCGATTTCAGTATTACGCTTAAGATTTCCCTTTAACATGATGGTTCTACAGTAAATTGAGATTAAAATTAAAGGAAAACAATCAAAACTGAACATAAGATACTTATCTTCTATATAGCCTTACATAGACGATGCTATTTGAATATTTTATGGTCAGCTATGCCCTCAACTAGAATTATTGTTAAAATATAAGTATGAAAGATACTTAACGTTACTGTTTGATATTCTATGAAAGTAAGTTGTTCTATTTGTTAACCTACGACTCAGCTTTTTTAGTAATGAACAGTTGTTACTATACGTTTCTAATCAGACAACATGAACACCAATATCCGTCGGCCTCCTTGGAGTTCTCCATGTTGGCGCACCTGATTCTTAGTGTTGATGTTCTGTTGAGACTGGAACATAGTGTATGTTGCTCTAAACGCCAAGTTGTCCACGAAGCTATTGAGTGCAGAACTGTAGAGATCAAAATATGTTGTATCGGAAAACGAACACTCAAGATATTTTTAAAACCAAATATTGTAGGAGAGGATTATAAACACTAAAGATGGGTAAATGCTTTAGTGTGCATTCGTTTTTGATTACCGGTATTTTTCAACTATATTCTGGATTCGATTAAATTTATTTACTTCACTAAGTCTATAAAACAAAATCACAAGATTAGGTGTTGTGAGATTTTTTTGTGTAAATGCGATTCTCAAGTAGTTTATTCCTCTCACTATTCAATAATAAATGGAGCCATTAATTAGCCTCAGCCTAAGAATTACTGCTTATCAGTTCGACCTATTTGATCTAATTTTTAAAGCGAAACCTTTATTGTCAATAAAAGTTCACTTTCTTATATACTGCTATGGAAACATAACATAGTGATCTGAAAATGAAGCTACTAGTGTCGGAATTTATCGACTCAGCGAAAGTGAAACCTTAGATTAATATAAATTCTACTTTCACCATAGTTTAGCATTAATTGAATTATGAACTATCTGTTGTTAGCTAATCCGGGTTTTTGACTAGTTGAAATTAGTTTTTTTTCTAGAGGAAATTAATATAAGTGATAAGCGCAAAAACGATTCAATATACTAAATTGTTTGCTTACGAAGAAGCTATAAAGATCATAGACTTGACGAAAAAACCTGCATTTTCTCAAAGTCGACACGCAAGATGAAAATTATTAGTGCTTGGTGGGCCCATGTCCTCCTTAAAAATTCCTTCATACGCTCCACTTTTATATGTTAATTATATTTGGATAGTAGACTGAAGCCAAATCTATGGCACGTTTTGTAAGCTTTTTTTCACCAGACTTTTCACGAAAGTGTGTGAAGACATCTGGAGAGTAAACTAGTTTCGAATAACCCTTTCATGATTTACGACTGACATAATCTGGTTTCTGACAATAAAATTGTCAGTTTAAAAGATGTTTAAAAGTATGTGCGCGATTGTGATCTGATGAACATACATCTACCCACTAAGATAAATCCATGGTTTTTTAAGTCGTAACCAATCATTTTACTCACAAGTGGAAAACCGGTTTAGAATACTGAATTTTATGTCAAACTTGTTTAATAACTTTTAAAACAACTTGATGAACATTGATGTTTATTTGTTTATTTGATCTGTTTCGTTGTAATATGTCAAGAAGTTACCATATCGTCACCTTTTATGTATGCCAATAGACGTTTGTTTAAAGCTTATTAATATGTAAAAAATGAGTCAAGCTTAGAACTTAAATATTACAAAATAACAAGATTGCCGTTAGGTTTTCGATTTCAATCAATTGACGCAATGAAATATCTAAGTGAATGCTACAAAGTAAAACCGACAATCTTGTCATCAAGAGGAATAACTGAAAAGTAATAATTTATAAGCATACTATTTTTTAGATAATCGGTCAACTTGAGAGAGTAACCAATAAACTCTCTGTAGTTTTCAGTGAATTGGAGTATAAGTACTTTTGCTATAGGGTTAGTACGTGGGCTTTATGAAGCAATCACAATGTATGAGCTGGGTCGCTTGAGGTATATCATTATAATCATGTATTACATTCAACGTTAATTATTACTTTTGTCTTTAAAATTCAATCCACCAAAGTAGATCATTGCGAACAGTCTAGGTAATAAGATAACACCGGTTCATAATGAATTTAAGGTTTGAACTCGTCACAATTTTAAAGACAAATTCTGAGTAAAATATTATAGACAACTTATCAAAAGGGTTTTTCGTTGAGTTGTTGCCTACATGAACTGCTTTATGATTATTTTCTTCTTGAAAAGTACGCATAAAACAATTCTATTTTAATTAGAATAATTCTACATTTCTGATATATCTTCTTCCCTAATTTACTATTAACGTAATAAGTCTGAGGTAGAGTTTACTGAAGACTTCTTTCCTCGATAATTTAGTGTTATCAAGAGAACTCATTTTACAAAAAATATTTAAGTGGCCTGGTTTATGCTCTTTAGAAGATTGAGTTTTGCACAAAGTACATTTTCAGTGTAAACTGTAGAAATATGACCTAATTTGAATGACATAGTACATGGATACTTTAAAAATTTTCCTAAATCAAGTGACTGAATAATAAGCAATAAAAATTCTCCATAATAACTTAAGTCTTACTAGTCCACAAGAACACAAATAAAATTAACTGAGATTATACCCGTGAAAAAGATCAGTAATTTGTTTCCAAAGAGACCTTACTTTTTTCTATCAACGTCAAAATACAATGGTAAAGTAAATTATTTGTTAATATTAATCATTTTAGTAGTAGTAACAGCATCAAACGTAAAAACCGCTTGTAGCGCAGTAAAAAAGTAGATTTCATTAGTTAGTGGATTATAACATTGATTTCCAGTTCGGTCGTGTGTTGTCATGCATCCTTCTATTCGTGAAAGTGTAAGAATGGATTTCTGTCTCAGTAAATAATACCAGTTATTATTATTACTAACATTATTACTATTATTATTGTTGTAAATTTTTGTGAATAATGTTGAAGTTAAAGTCTAACATTACGTCCTGACACTGGTTAATACAACGGTTGATGACAAGGAAACACTAGACGGAGTGAGAACTCAGCAGCACACATCCACAAATCCACCAAAGATTGAACTCACAACCTTCAGGCCATATGACTAGTTTTGAACCTTAAAATAAGTATCTTAACGTCTACTGGCTAACATTCTGAATTTAACTCATTTCGCAATATTCCCTGTCACTGTTGATATTTGTTTCAGACTCGACATGATTGATCTCCAGTAATTATAGATTCTCATTAGGACTTTGGGCATTGTCTCTCGAACTTAGCTAACAGTAACTACACAATGCGTGGCATTATTCAATATTGAGTAGACTGTTTATTTATATTATTAGGATCAGACTAAGGTTTAGCAATTATTATTCTATTAATTGCCACGTGTACTAATTTTTTCAAATGATAATTTAATTTGTTCAACAATGTATTTTTTAAATTAAGGGTCTAATTTTATGTCCTGGAGAAAATAGAATCAGGTTAGTAAGCGATCTTATACGAGAGCAAACTGGTAAACGTTGTTTGGTTGTTATTGGAGCAACAACAGCTCTTGAAGTGGTTGGAGAACAGTTCACCGAACTAACTATTGGTTCTAAGAGTCTTGAATGCGGACATGAAGTTAAAAGACTTCTTCAGGTAATAACAGGTGGATATAATGAATATCTCTGAAGACCTTTAGCAATAATTCAATTTTTAAAATACAAAAAACACTGTTTATAACATCACAGTAAGAACAGGAAATCTGAACACTGTTTATCTAAGATTGCTTTGAATTCTGTTCAAAAAATTCGATAATATTCAAACTATATAGTGAAGTAACACAATGAAGTTGTTAGTTTTTAGTATACTGTTCATTTAATTAACATTTAATGTAAATCGTCTTCATTAGTCGTTTGGTTATTTGAAGTATTGAAAAAGGAAATTAAAATTTCTAACGAGATCTACCAGGAAAATCAATTAAATTAAATGAAAATTTTCAATCTCATCAAACTGGTGACATGACCCATCCTCTTTGGTAAGCTATCATACCTGAACTCGATGGTGAAAACGAATAAAAAACCCTAAGAGGCTGTCTTTAGGAATGTAGAGTGAATTTATTTTACAGCCCACTTGTATTGGTAAGTGGACTGGCTCCGAAGTGAATATATAAATGTATACCTCGGCTACAAAAATATAGTATTTAACACAGCTCATTTCTGGTTGAATTTTACATACCATTTATTCTTAAGATATTGTACAGGTTGTTTGATTTCCTCAACACATCACAAACAAACAGTTAAATAATCATCCAACGAAATGATTTCGAAAAGATTCTAATCTCAATTTCAGCAGCTAATCAAAAGCAAGTTGAAAGTGTCCCATCTTAAAAGCTGCATTAGAATTTGTGATTAATAACATAGCTTCTTATGTAATTGGTACAATCTTAAATAAACACAATTTACTGAACTTGAAAAATGATATGCTGGTTGAGTCCATGCATATGACATTCATATGAGCATATGGTAGATGGCAGCTTTCAAAGGAAGTAAGCTTTTATTTCAAACAGTTTATGCAAATCATTATGTTTCAACATATCTATCAGGAATAGATAAATAGATATATCGGAACGGGTTTGTGGAGATTTTAGAAATTTCACAGATTGAAATCATGAGTCAGTTGAAGCTAGACCACCATGGAAAACCTGGAAGCACTGGACGGCTGTTTTGTCCTAGTATGGGACTGCTCAGCAGTGCGCATCCACCATCCCGCCTCTCGAGACATTCGAACCCAGGACCTATCAGTGTCGCGCGCGACCACCTCATAATTAGACCACTGAGTCGGCATCCAACGGTGTTAATGTCTAACTTCAACCAATCCACGAAGTTGCGCCACCGTACACCATTGTCTTCAGTGAGTTGATATCTCACAACAGACCTGGTTGAACTCCACTGGTAACGGCTTCTCACTAAAACTCCAGGAAATGCCTCTTCAAGTCAGTCACCAGTGAGCAGATGATTATTATCAGAAGGTGTTTTGTGGAGATGATTTTTACAAATTTCAATAGTTGAAATCATGAGTCAATTGAAGCTAGACCACCATGGAAAACCTGGAAGCACTGGACGGCCGTTTCGTCCTAGTATGGGACTGCTCAGCGGTGCGCATCCATGATCCCGCACCCCGTGGGATTCGAACGCAGGACCTACTGGTTTCGCGCGCGAGCACTTAACCATTAGACCATTGAACCGGCCGGCATCCAACGGTGTTAATGTCTAACTTCAACCAATCCACGAAGCTTCAACTGACTCATGATTTCAATCTGTAAAATAGATATATACCAATGAGTTTGTGTACATTTTGATTCGACTTGAAAATTACATATTCCCAGTTATCTTAGTCTTCTTACTCACATACCAATTTAAAATTGAGTATAAGGAGCGTGTATATTAGCATTGGGTTGGTGGAGTATAGAAAAAACCAAATTGGAAATACTGAACAAATGAATCAAATAATGGAATTCAGTATTGTTAAAAAGCTGTTCCAGTAGTACTTTAGCCGCTGCTTTCGTACACAGAAGTACATGGTACCGCTAATATTTAATCATACTGAAACAGTAAATTCTGAATTTATTTAAATCAACGAATTTCCAGTATTCTTAAATCGAGACAAACCTTGCAAGTGTATAAAAGTAATCACAACTGTATGCTATAAACTCATCAGTTTAACGCAGTTCAACATATTTTATGAAGACACAAATGAAATAACAGTTATGGCTTACAATAAAATTTCTAATGAAAACTACACTCAAATGGTTAATATTCATTCAATAATTGAGACAAGATAATGTCCAAACAACTGAATTCTCCATATTAAATGAATAAAGAAATGTTGCGTAAAACCTAAACTAATTTGATTTTGCCAAGTCATTTACGCACTTTTTAAAAATAATTTGTACCTCATTCCATACTGACATAATCCTCTTTTTGAACGTGGAAAAAATAGTTAAGCTTAGTGAGATGACTAAACTGTCAGTAAATTACATTGTTCAAATGTAAATTATTGATAGTTAATATCTACTATTCTATATGTTCTATTTGCATACGTCAATGCACAGACAGATTATATGAAATTAGTCATAACTCAAGACGATGTTGGTGTTGAATTATGCGGTTCATTGAAAAATGTCGTAGCGATAGCAGCAGGGATATGTGATGGTCTAAAGTTAGGTGATAATACGAAAGCAGCTGTAATAAGAATTGGTTTCTGGGAAGTGTCTGAATTACTGCATGAACTATTTCCTGATAGAGGTTAGTTGAGTTGTGTTGTTATTTTGTTTTTTCGTTTCATCCGTTGATAGTTCTCAATTAATTTAAATTAAAAATGTATCAAGTTTCGACAAGTGAAACTGTCAACATCTGTGATAATTATAAAAAAATACAGCATATAGAGTATTGTTCAGGTGTAGTTTCTTCGTAGTTCGCAACTTTCTAGTAATGGATACTCAACCCCATATATGAATGAAATATGGAGGCTTACTCTGATCTTAACTACATATATATTGGATGATGGTCACCTTACTTCAGATAGAAGTTTTTGCTGATGATGTCGTTCAGAAGGACGATGAAAGCTCCACGACCAAACCATCCAGCTCAGAGAACAAAACTCCACCAAAATTCAGCTTCACAGTCTGAGACGTTTCCACTAATCTATCTAGGCCGTAATGGTAACGTTGCCGCTAGGTTGTGTAGGTTTGAATTTCACAGATACGATCAGTCCCGTAAAGACTGAAAGTTCTTCATGCTAACGAGCACCGACCAGAATAAAACTTCGGTCCAGGGTATCTTGGTTACCACCCTAAACAATCAAACACCAAAATACAGTGCAGGTGATATCAAGTCATTTAAGCAAGCAGCCGAATTGCAACTCGATTGATAGAACTAAAAATACATTATATCGATCATTACTTCATGACCAATTAGCTATTTTTTAGTAATTCAAAAAGATCAGTCAATTTTAATTCTGATAATTCCCAGTGAAATGTACATTATGAAAAGAAATTTTTTTCATGAAAGATTTCATTTTTAAAAAAAATCGGAATTGTCATATTAATTCAGTAAATATGTAGTTATGTTTCAAAATCCATGTTACGCTTTGATAAAACACGCATATAAATAAATATAAGCTTTTGAGAATTGATTTAAAAAAAGTCATTTTATATCATGCATAATACATATCCGGAAACTATGATTTAAAATCATTAGTTAATCTATTTTTGCATTATTTCTACTTCCTAAAAAGTTGATAAAGGTCAATCACTCGTTACATAGTATAATGAATTCATTCAGTATTATAATTTTATCATTAATCATCGAAACCTATAAAATAATCTTCAAGAATATTTTTGGAGATTTATTTATAGCAAATCTACTTAAGTGAAATAAATTCTTAACAAGTGTTACATTATCCAATTAAAGGTTTGAATAATATTCTGTCACACAACAAGGTCAGTCAGTTCGGAAGCTTAATTGTAAGCTGAGACTTGCTTTTTTACATAATGATTATTGGTGAGAAAAGACAATAACTGGGTATCATGCTTTCAGCTAAATCTGAAATTTTATGGTCTACAATACAGATTGACCTTAATTAGATAACCAGTGAAAAGCACAAAAACAGTGCAAACCTGTTTCATTCTAACACAAAATTTCTCGTTCACAATAGTGATCAAACCCTGAACGTTAAGGTCTCGCTAAGATCAGGTAATATTTAAACCACTGAGCTGGTATTCCATGGTTCACACTTCTAACTTAAGTCAATTCGCCATTGTCATTGTGTTGAAGCCCACATGGAAATCTTATTGTGTGTCCTGTTGATCATGATTTGTACAAACTCAAATCCATTTAAAATGTGGATCTACTTTGAAAAAAAAGCAATGGAAAATTACATTATCTGGCAAACTTGATTGCGGATATCGATATCAGATTAATGTTGCTAAGTAGTACCTTTTTAAACTTATCTACTCCTCAGAATTTTATTCAGACAAATAGCCAACAACCAACACTGTAAAATATATAATATTCTGTTGCTGAATATTATTATTCTAACGTTAAATTATTTCTAAGAATGTGACTGTACAACATAATCTAATGTAGGTGGTAGATACAACTGCACGTGTTTGTAAAACGTATTGCCGTTTGGTAAAAAACAACGACTTCGTACAATATCTGTCCCACACAACATATGTGTGTCATGTCGTGTCGACAAAAAGAAACGACGAATTCGAAGCAGTACATTGCAAAAAAACGAAATTTAAAAATCGAAATTCATTGTAATCATGAACTGATCTAGCTTAGACCACCAAGAAAAACCTGGACATACTGGACAGCAGCTCCGTTGTAGTATGAGACTCCTCAGTAGAGTATGGTTTCGATTCCTGGTTACTAGGTTGTGGATGAACACTTCTGATAATTTTCATACTAGGACCAAGCGGCCATCCACTGCCTTCTAGTTTTAAGTGGTAGTCTACCTAAGATCAGTTCGTGATTGAAACTATGACACCTGTACAACTTAGATAAAATTTTAAACTGACATTTATCTATTTATAAAAATAAACAGGTACAAATTATCTAACAACAGAGCAAAGTTGCGGAATAGCTGAATTATTCATGTGTAAGTTATATTATTATTATTATTATTTTGTTTTACTAAATTAGCTATGAATGTTCTTGTTAAATAAGTTAAAGTCGTTATTCAACATGAACTTGATCGATAGAACTAGATCTATATGTTATCAAATAATTGTTTAAATTAAATTTTATGAGGCCAGTATTCTAAAATTAATGATGGATTATTGAATAAACACTTGTATTTGAATTTAAATATTTCAAGTTTGAACAACTGTCATCTGTTTTTATGTAATAAGCCGAACAGTATTATGAGACCTCATATAAACAGTATAGTGCTGAGTCAGTATTTTAGTACCAATTAGAAATTTCATATTATCTTTTCAGAAAATGGTTGTAACGCTTAGTATCCGAACGCTGATAATGATACGAACTTGTTCGATATACAAAACTGGCTATTGGGGAGAAAATATAGTAATCATGTAAAGAGGTTTATTTAGGTTAAACAGATTCAAGTAGCAACTATATATATACGTGCCCCTTAGAAAACTAAGCTTTTCAGTGTTATGTCTCATCCATTCTAAAATAAAGCCATTTTTGATCAATCACTTGCATTTATGATTGGATCACTGTATAAGGAACTAATTAATTTGTTTGATTAGGTCACTTCACTCGATAATTTCTAAAATGTAACATATTTATCATGAATTCACATACATGTTAGTTATTAGTTATCATTTATATTTTTCTTGGTTACGTTAATTGTTAATAGTGTGAATGAAATGAACTTCGATATCCTGTATTGATACCAAATTGACATTAAACAGAATTTTATGCTATCTATTCAATTTTATATATTAAGGTTGATTACACCTGTCATATATTAATATATGTGTAGTTTTCTCATTATTTTTTGAAAAATTAACTTTTTCATTGTCATTACAAAAATTTGTGCAGATATTTGTGCGAATAAATTAGATTAGAATTTAATGAACATTTATTAAACGAACTTTAGCTATTTCATATTTTGTGATAAGTGAGGATATGAATTCCATTTAAAAGCAGATATCATCAGTTTAGAACAAAAATTGAGCAGACAAACGAGTTCAAAACAAGATTTACAGGATGGACTGATTTGACACGTGTGACAGAACAATGTGATGATCTGAAAAATGTATACTTGCGCTAAACATTTCGAACAATCTGGTCACACATATACCTGTCAAGGCATTTTATGTAAAAATTAGTAAAGTTCAAGTAAACGAAATGATAATTATCAGAAGGGATTTTGTGGAGATTTTAGAGTTTTCACTAGTTAGTTCTGGGCTCAAATCTCGCAGGGGGAGAGGTTGTGGATGCACACTACTGAGGAGTCCCATCCTACGACGAAACGTGCTCCCAGGTTTTACATGGTGGTCTAGCTTCAATTGACTCATGATTTCAAACAGTGAAATGACAATTGTAAATAAGTAAGAGAGAAAACTAACATCGTATGGGAAGAATAAGAAATTGTCGCATCAGCCTAGATCATAAAGTGATTCAGGGATTACCAGGGTAAAGTAAAGTTTACGACGAATTTTTTCTTTATATCTAAGGGGTGGTTCGAATTTATGAACAGCTAAGGCTTCTATAGATCTAGGAATTCGTCCTTGGTAGTTTCAATACAACGTTTTAAAAGCTATACTGATGTCAGTTCTACGCCCCATTTCAATTATTTGATTTACTATTGATGAACATGGTTTTCTAATTTCCACGTTTATCGGAGCATTTGAAACTAACTGATTTTGAAGTCATCTAGGCACATGCTCCATGAACCTTAATTGCATTGTTTAATCACACCTCCCTATATTTGCGGACCCACACAAATCTGTGAAATAATTTTGAAAAGTTTCACTTCTATCATGACCAATTATTGATAATGTTGTTCAAAAGAGTGATAACAATTTTGTAATTAATGGAATACTGTTATAACTTGTGGCCTTGTGCCTTATTAATACATAACGTAATGATGCCACCTATTAGAGAACAGTGCTTTGTCGGCCAGACCAATGACGCACAAAACCGTACGAGTAGTCTAGATTCTTAATCGGTCCTTCTTCCTGCCTAGCCCTACCTTTAAAGTCCAGAACACAAATCTCAGGTCCGCGATATGAATCATGCATTTCAGACATAGTGAGTTTATACATAAACCAAACAGACCACGTCGTACCATAAAATGGAAAATAACATTTGTACAAGATCTAGCCCAAAGTAGCTGTGATTGTGGTGGACTGTAATTAATGAACTGGGCATAAATTGAGGATGGCAATTCGTATAATAATAGCCTATAAGTCAAAATAAAGCTTATAATAAGAATATGAAATACTACAATGGAAATACTGCAAAACAACTGTTTAATGAAACAGTCATTTCAATAAAAACACAAATTAGTTCAACGAATAACCAGCTATTTGAATTTCATGTTTCCCACATATCCCCTCTAAAAATTTAGCAGGAATCTAATCTTAACCATTTTTAATATGATTATTTTTTCTATCTTTTCCAAGGCATGTCTCATAAAATCGATGACATTTCCGATATAGGAGATCTAGATCTGTTGAATATTAGTATTGGAAGACGATTATCTAACAATGATACCAATAGACCATCAATTCGTTCCATAACTGATAAAATACCATACAGAACTTTTGTAGACGGAGCTGAATACGCAAAACAGGTAGTTTATTTGTTTGACTTAGCACTTGTTTTAAGCTAGCACGAAATGTTCTGGGAAACAATACTAAATGTAAGGACATTAGCTAATTAGATTATCACAATAATGTATACTTTGATATACACTTCTGACTTGTTGAAAACAGTAAAAGATTTGGATATACACTCTTGACATTTTTTTCTCAACTACGTTCATTTCCCCAAACGATTTCGTTCATTATATCAGAGCAGTTTAGCGATCTTTGTTTACTACGACGTCATCTCAGTGAACAATACCACTTAGCTAATTGTGGTCGATTTAGATACTTCAAATTATTCCACCTGTATAAAAATATTTATTTATCGGTATTGTTAACCTGATGAGGATTAAAGTATACATTAGAGTTAATTGGTTGAGTCCGTCTAGGCATATTACGTGCCTATGCTCACATGCCATCTGAAAACCCAACCGTAGATGAAAAATTAGAAAATAGACAATTTATTGGAAAAAACTGATTATGCCCCTAGTCAGGATCTCAGCCTACATGTCCATGTCTGGATCAGAAAGATATATGTATACGCCTCAATTGTTTATTTACCTACTGATTTATTTTCTCAGTTCAAGCTTCTCAGTCAGGCATTCCATTCGCATGGCTGGATGAGAAAGCCTACCAGAAGTGTATGTATTGATATAAAACGTGGTGGAACTTAACAGTTTATTTTTTATCACACTGAAGTAAACTGGAAAACAATATTTCAGCAGAGACCTAAGGTTAATATCTTTTCATATAGGTTAATTCTAATTAGCATTTGACTGATTAAATAATTTAAAAAATATTGTGTGTGAATAATCGAGTATGGCGAAGGCGAGATATCCGTCTATCAATAAAAGGACGAGTATACTGCGCGGCAGTCCGTTCTGTTTTAATTTACAGCAGCGAAACATGGCCATTAAGAGTAGAAGACACTCGTAAGCTACTAGTATTTGACCACAGATGCCTTAGAAATATTGCTGGTATCTGCTGGGATCACCAGGTAAGTAATAGTGAGGTTAGACGCAAGGTATTAGGGAATGATGGTAAATCAGTTGATGAGGTTATGAATCTTCATCGACTGAGATGGTTGGGCCACGTGTTACGTATGCCTGAACACCGATTACCACGACGTGCAATGCTAACCGGGGTAGGGGATGGTTGGAAGAAAGTTAGGGGCGGCCAAACCAAAACGTGGCATCAGTGCTTGAAGTCACTAACTTCTAGTCTAAGCCATGTTGGTAGATGCAGACTACTTGGTTGGGGTCCGCGTGACTATCGTAACCAATGGTTGGAGACTCTTGGTGACATGGCTCAGAATCGATCACAATGGCGTCGGTGTATACACTCCCTGTCTTCCCTTAAACTAAGAGATTAAAATCGCTTCATATCTTTCTTTCTACGAACCAATTCTTTCTTCTTGTACTATATCTCTATATGCAATCTTTCTCTTACATATTACTACCTTTGACCTAACCACTGCTATGAATCCGGTGTTCATCTTGTTGTGCTGATGCGGTATGGCAACCTGGACCGATGCACATATGTGCCTGGTCCTACGTTGTAGCTGACTGACTGAATCGAGTATTATTTAGCTGGAACACTAACCAGAATCGAAGATTTTCGACGATTAAACATTCTGGTTACTTATATTTTTTTCAAATATATATCTCCCACTCTATTCATTGTTACTAAAATTATAGTTAGTCAATAAAATGATTTATCTTTGATAAGGCCAAAATCATGAGCTTTATTTCCGTTAAAAGACATGATACCTTTATAGTGACCTGAAATTTCAAGGTGAATATGTAATAACAACCAGAATTCCACCCAATAGTTTATACCTTTTCTGTACAGCATCTATGGTTATGTTGGTACAATCACACCAAATTATAAAAGACAGCAGTTTATTGGTATTTACAGTACCATAAATATGGAATAGAATATATATAAAATATTTCAACAATACCGGCACTGTATTATACAGCCAAAAAATATGTTACAAAAAACTCGTAAAATTGAATCCATAGTATAACAAACTGATATTAGCGAGAAATAAAGCAAATTATTTGTCAAAGAGAAAAAGCGTTCCAGATAAACAATCAGGTAGTCGACCAACTCACCCAAGCACATCGAAACCAGTATGGCTTTCGTTAGAGATTTACGGTATCATACAAAAGTACGAATCCTGCAGAACCAAAGTTGTAGAAAAAAATACTAATAACATCGTCTGAACTAAATATTTAAGCCATCCAAATGGTTGGATGGAATAAGAGCAATGAGGTTTTACAAAACGTCAAATAAAAGATCGGTAATATAGAAAGCATACCGGCTGGATTCTATACCACACATAAAGTATGTCGCATTTTCATACCGACTCAATATCCCATGGTGCATTTTTCAAACCTCAGTGAATTCCCAAAGTATGAATCGACCATTCAGTGGAATGGATATTAGCTGACACGATTAAACTTCAGCATAGTACCCAGTAACAACTAATTTTGGTTTGTTTCATGAATGTTATTTACCATTTAGACGTTTTTCCATTAATTTTTCAAACCAAATTTTACAGACCTCGTTTTATAATAAGCAATGCGAATGAAATACACTTTTCATGTTATCATTATCGTTCTTATTTTGTTTCAAGATATACAGTATCTTAGCTGACAGACGTCGTACTGGACATTTTCCATTATTTGTCGCTGTTCATCGTATTTGTCAGAATGAAATAAAACCACAAGAATTAATTACATGTTTACAGTCACATCCTATTCATGCTTAACTATTACTTATGAGCAACAAGTCAAAATAAACACAATTTATGCTATTTTTCATTTTTGCTATTATGAGTTTCTTACTGTTTTAAGTACAAACATTCGAAAATAGGATTTCATTTCTTATTTTGCAAATTCTTGTTTTTTCTATGAATTTCAACCATTTAATGTGATTTTGCACAATTATACATGAAATGAGATTATAGTCTTTTCAATCCTTTGCAATATACTTTTGTTTTACTTAGCCAGCTAATTAAGCCGATTCGTATCGGTTGGATTATCATTACAGTTTTTGCTGCTCACACTATGATTTTGCTACATCTTTAAAATAAATAGATTAACTGCTATGGGAAAATAACCATTGGATTACAATTTAAATTTTCGATATGTCTGTTAGATGATGAAGCATTTACGTGTTATGCTGTTTCTCTTTGATAAGACAGTCAAGTTTTTATGTTAAGTATGATCTAATTATTCAGGTTGTCCAATCTTCCATGGGTCGTTTGTTTATCTATGATGTCTTGCGGAATGAACGCTATAATCCGTCCCCTAAGCTATGCTGTAACCCCCAAGCTAGAACTATACAGCGACCTGAACACGAAAGAGAATACTCAAAGTATGCGAGAAGTAGTTTACTCCAAGGTTCATTTTAATACAGAAAATACAGGGGTTTTATAATATTCTGAATGTCCTTGGGTTGCTAGATTTTGGAATGCTACTAAACATAGTAGCAGTGTAGCAATCAGCCAGTCAGAACCTCTACATGTGACGTTTCGCTTCCTTGATATTTTTGGCAAAAACTTCAAGTGAACGCTGATTGGACGAAACGCGTCTTAATGATTCCTGATGCTTGCTTGTCTTCTGCAAGTAATTTTCTGGATCACTCCAACAATCTACTAATCAAATTTTAATTCCAGTTGTTTGGTAGTGACATGAGATCTGGATAAATATTAGTGAAAATGACTAAGTAGGCACATTATAATTGTATACGGTAAAACAAATTTTCGATAATAACCTCTGAAGTGTTATACCAGTTCACTTTCTTATATACGCCGTAAATCAAACTCTATCAGTTCGAACAAAATACGTACTAAAACTTACAAAAAACGTTTCATATTCTTAATGATATTGCATATAAACGTTTCTTTCTACGAATGATCTATTTTATGTGATGATCAATCATAAGTAAATACGATACAACGAAAACGTTGGAACAAATATAACATAGACCCGTCATATAGCACAAATTAGCAAAAGCACGATTTGTATTGGATCATTAAAACAAGAATTATTAAGTATATCCAGTCAACAATTACTAACAGCTGGTTCTCAGTAATTTATAAAAACAAACAAAACTGAATTTTTGAGAAAATTATTATACAGCATAAAAATATGAGTAGTTACTATGCAGAATAATCACTGATTGCTATTTAACCCCAAAAGGGGATTGTAAATTTGGAAATGCAGGTTAGACTAAATGATATGAATCTAAAACCAATAAGGATAATATTTTGTATAAAACTGTCTACTTTGTTACATTACCTACTTTAACATGTTTACTGAATAACAAAATCATTTTATGTAACCTATTCTAATTAGTATCCAATACATAATTCATTTAGTTCAGTTTAAATTCTCATATCATAAAGCACCTTACTATCTATTCATTTCAAAATCATCAAACCAGTAAATTTTTCAATTGTCTTTTACAAAAAAGAACGAAGAATAAGACATTCAGATTTATGCAAAAACATTTCGAAACAATAAAATAAGTTCAGTAAAATACACGCATAAGTCAGTCAGTCAGTCAGCTACAACGTAGGACCAGGCACATATGTGCATCGGTCCAGGTTGCCATACCTCATTAGCACAGCAAGATGAACAGCGGATTCATAGGAGTGGTTAGGTCAAAGGTTGCAATAAGGATATAGTATAGGAAGAAAGAATTAGTTCGTAGAAAGAAAGAATGAAGTGATTTTAGTCTCTTGGTTTAAGGGAAGACAGGGAGTGCATACACCGACGCCATTGTGATCGATTCTGAGCCATGTCACCAAGAGTCTCCAACCATTGGTTACGAAAGTCACGCGGACCCCAACCAAGTAGTCTGCATCTACCAACATGGCTTAGACTAGAAGTTAGTGACTTCAAGCACTGATGCCACGTTTTGGTTTGGCCGCCCCTAACTTTCTTCCAACCATCCCCTACCCCGGTTAGCATTGCACGTCGTGGTAATCGGTGTTCAGGCATACGTAACACGTGGCCCAACCATCTCAGTCGATGAAGATTCATAACCTCATCAACTGATTTACCATCATTACCTAATACCCTGCGTCTAACCTCACTATTACTTACCCGGTGATCCCAGCAGATACCAGCAATATTTCTAAGGCATCTGTGGTCAAATGCTAGTAGCTTACGGGTGTCTTCTACTCTTAAGGGCCATGTTTCGCTGCCGTAAAGTAAGACACGCATAAATGTTGCTACAAAAGATTAAAGTGAAGATAATACAAAGTGTACAAGATACAAATATCATGAGGTAAGTATTAAAAAACTATCAAACAGAAATCTGTCAAACTGTTAGGGTAGTCAGTTCTGACAATTACTATTCATCGTTTAAAAAATACAAATATTTCATATATACATTTAATTTAATCACTATATTTTAAAAATTCCAGTAAAGAACGTTGTCGTTGTCTATTGTTGTTAGCAGATGAAGTCTTTTTCAATTGACTCTTTCTTTGGTTAGAATGTTTAATATTTTGTTGTGATCTTCTTTCATACCTATTCACTTCTTGTGAATCTCGTTTACTGCTTCTTTTAATAAGTAAGTCGGTGCGTACATCCCCAACACCTAAGAATTAAAAAGTATGTATATCCATGATGAATTTTATTCAATGAATTGTTTGTTAAACAAACATAGAATTTAAAATATTAGAAAAAAAGGAAATGACAGAAATAATCACTCTTTTAAAAACAAGTCAAGTTATATTCAAACGGTATATTACGATTACGATACGTTCATGTTAGTGTATATTTATAATTTAACTAGTCTCAACTAGGAAAAACAAATAGAAAGACTCCTTACTGAAGTACACTTTAAAAACATCAGTTTATTGAATCATTTATTTAAATAAAGCGATAAGAAGAAGATCACGAAATTCATTATATTTTACGGCTTCTTATTAGCTTCTCATACAACCTCAATTTACATTATTAATATTACTATCAAAAATGTATATATACTGTACGTAATCAATGAAGTTTAGTTTGGAATCACATGAGAAACAAGAGACAATATATTTAACATAATAGATAAGATTGATTCAGATTTCGCATGTTGAGGACGAAGTTGTAGATGATGATGAAGAGACGATCAATAAAAATATTGTTAATAAATATATGGTAATTAAGGCACCTAGTTGACATACAGTTTAAATTAACATAGTGAGTGAATATCGGTGGAAATAGTCTTAAGTCAAAAAGTATAATAAACAGATAATTTAATTGACGAATGTTAAAATAATATAACTATCTTATCATGATAATGAGAGGTTTACTACAATAGCTTTCTGTATACAAAAATCAGGTCAAAAGTGCTTGATGGCAGTAGCCCTTGCAAAGTGGAATAAAAGTAGTGTTCACTGGTTGTTAATTATAATCGCCACACTTTGTCATCTATTCATTAAATATCTAATAATAGCACTGGTGAATATTCTACATCCTTTCAAACACAACTTGAGCGAAATATTTTTCGAAAACCTTGTAGACGCCATTTTAATCATAGTCCTTCCCAAACACTTGCTTCCACAAGTACATGTAAATTCTAAAGATGACCTTAGAAGGGAACTGACCAATTTTTGATTGATTTAAGGAAAATCTGTTCTATCCTTAAAATACTAGAACTGCAGGAAATCTTTTTTTAGCGCTGGTTTAGTACTCTTATCAATTCTACCTGAAATCTCCCTTTTGAATCACAGATGAAGACAGATTTATTGTTAACAATTGTGTTTGGGACTTCCTGTACTTAATAAGAGACCTCTTTCTGTACTTTATAGGTTGAACACAAGCTCCTATTAAATGGGATTTAAACTAAAGTGTTTGTAACGGAAAGGACGAAAAGTATTATGACTTAAGTATTGCCTCGTTCATGTAGAATGAATTTATGTTATTCCGCAGATCTTGTTTTTCTCGCATTATCCAGGATATATATATATATATATATCCTTTAGCTTTAATATGTTCAAAGTTTATTACAATGGTTTTCCACTTAATATACATAAAAACTGGTACAACTAACTGGGCATTAAAAGCGAATGCACCATACAAGCAACAAACTAACGTTGTGAAGAAATGAGCATTTGTAGAAGAGATATTTTTTGGTCTTTTCCAGAAGTTTGTGAAATATACATATAAGATGCAGTATTCAACCGAAACTTCCTTACGTGATCATCAGCATTTGAAATATGTACGCATGATAGAAATTCTAAAAATTTTTAGATAGATTTCATAGGCTTTGTTTATTGAACCACCAGACCATAGATAGGTTGTATTATATATTTTAAAGAGAATTTGAAAGACTTGTAGAATATGTTCGCATGGTCACTGATACCGCAATATTGGATTCATTTATATTAGAATTCAAAAAATTGCGAAGATTCGCAGTTGAAGCAACCCCCACCGGAGGTATATGATCTGAACCAAATAGATTACTAGACATACTGCATTGAACGAATGAAAAATAAGTTTGGTCAACAGGTACTGGATTTGACTACTCGATAATTTCGGCATCATGGTCAATGTTTCGAGTTTTATCTAGGATTTCCTCGGGTCCCAGCTTTACGTCTAAGTGGGACTCATCAATGTTGTCGGTCGTTGATCAGTTATCTGATTCACAGCATACACAGATATTCCACAAGTCTTTCCAAACACTTAATACATCCTATCCATAGTCAGATGATGCAACAAACAAGTACTAAAAATTAACTCAATTTCGATCGAACGTACATGTTCTTAAGTGCTGATGATCATATTACGAAGTTTCAACTGGTTATTACATCTTGCATATCGTACAAAGCCCCTTAGAAAAGCTTGGTCAACCAAGTATCTCAGATGAAACATGTCTCTTTTGGTCTAATTTTAATGTACTATTGAACTTAATAATAGAGTTACTGGGTTTAAACGTTGTTTTGCATTTCATTCAAATGATGATATTGGTAATGAGGTATCCTGTGTATTCATTATAAATCCTGATCTAACATTTTCAAACATTCATGCTATACCTAAAATATCTACGTGTACAGGTAGATGCAGATTTACGCCAAGATATTATAGAAAGCCTTCAGAATCATAATGACCATATCACTGGAAACATTCGATTTGCATCAACCAGATTCAACTCTTAGGAGAATCAGAAGACGAAATAGACCACAATAAAATATCACCCACCTGAATCAGCCCATATAACAGGTAGATACTTTTCAAGAGCAGGGCTGATGAGCTGGGCGAACCAAGGCATATCACATATCTGTACTCACATGCCGGTAGGTAAGACATTGTAGTAAGGAACACTACATGTCTTTGTCTATGTCAGAGGGATATATATATGTATACCGATTGTTAATGTACACTTTATTCCAGTTAAGCAATTACACATTCTTACTCATTTCATATAGCGGGTTCGGGCTGACGAAAAGCAAGCATAAACACAGGGATAGAAAGATAGTTTGTTGTTGTTGCGGCAGTGATGATGGTGAGAGTACCGATAAACCTGTTGACAAGTGAACATAGGACAATACTATCTGAATTCTTACCACTAATTTTAACATTTTCTTCTGTGAATAAAGTCCTTGACCGTTTTTTTTTCAGACTAGACAATTTAGTTGGAGTTCCATGTTCGGAATAGCCGCTACTAAATTGGTGTAAAAAAAAGTCGGAAACATAATTCTGAAAAATCAATTCGCAACCTCACAAAGACACGAGTAGTTAATAAATATGGTATATATATATATATATATATATATATATATATATATATATATATATAGAGAGAGAGAGAGAGAGAGAGGAGAGAAAACTTTAAGTGTAGGATGAAATGTGAGGTTGGCTGAGAGGTTCGAATCGTAAGTATTTGGTTATCAGCTGCCAATTTTAAGGGACTTAATAATATAAGTATCAAGCTCTCCACTTCTATGAGGTGCTCGAGATGAGACTTATAACAATATTTCTTGCTGCAAAATTTACCGGAATGAGTGAATACTTGATCACACAAATTAACTAACTCGTTCCGAGTAACTGTAGTGTTCACTTATGCAAATATACGGTTATCGAAGTATGTGAATATATGCTTTCCAGAGTTTGGGAAATACTGTGTGATTTGTCCAGTCTTTTGATCAATAGATATTTTCAATAATCAACTTTCTTTATTCAACAACAACGTTAAAATTCTGAAACTTGCTGAAATACCAAAACCTAGCAATGAACACCACTGGTAAGTGATATTTTCATTATTTAGTTACTTCAAAAAGTATCAAAACTGATTTAAATAACAGAATTCAAATTGATTAAGTGAATAACTATCGCAGATCTTTCTTCTACTTAACGTCGAAATATCAGGAGCAGGTTCAAGTCAGAATTTGCGACAATTTACGAGATTTGAAAGTAAAATTGAAATTTTCCACTACAGTATTAAACATCGAAGCCATGTGTGTTTGAAAATCACTGATATATTATGAAAAGGCTAAAAACTCCACTAAACATGAATTGTTGAACATTTTTGCTTTCTTTCTCTGTTTTATTTTGTATCAGTATGATGTAATAGGGTTTGTATAAGGTTGAAAGCAATGGAGATTGTTTTTCGATTAATCAAAATTGAAATATAGCAACTACAGTACGTTAGACATACCTTTTGGATATTTTATTTTCATGTCTTACAAACTTAAATGGAATAACGGAAACAAACATAAGATTACGCAAATGTTTTGAAGAAACAGTGGTTTGATCCTAAGAATATATTGCTTGAACCGCTTGTTTCTTGATATTTCCAATAGGACCTGCTGTTTTATTTGCAATGCAAGTACATAGTCATAAACGCAACTAAGACATGAAATATCGTTAGAATTGAGAAACGCAGAACATTAGGTAAAGACAGAAATTGGTTGGTGAGGTAGTAAAACTTCATTGACTGAAGTGGTTAGGACAAGTAATATATGTCCTTAACTATCGCCTACTTCAACGCGCTAATTTAGGAGTAAGTTGTAAGAAAACTGAGACCAAACTAAGACGCAACATAAATTCATGAAGTTAATGACTGTTAGATTGAGCAGTGTTGATAGGTGCAGATAATCTGGCTGAGGTCCACGCGTTTACAGTAACCAATAATTAGACACGTTGAATGATATGACTCAGAATCAGCTGTAGTAGTGCAGATTTATCAACTTTTTGTCTTCCTTTACATCACAAACTATAAAATGATCTCATACTTCATATTTTCTCAAAATTTTTTTCTTACACCATTTCGTATATGTCTAGTCTACATCCTACCACTGATATTATTACAACTACTATTCTGCTACTTGCCTTGCTAATTTCATCACGTTGTACTAATGTGATGTTGCAAGTTGAACCGGGCCAGGTTTTACGCTACTTATAGATGATTGATTTTAAACACATTCAGTATTTACAATATGAACATAATGATAGAAATATTAGTAATAATTTAACACACTTACTTAATCAATGATATATTGGATTGTGAACCTTCATTGACAACTTGCCAACATGGTAATGAACTGGTTTCATTAATGGAGTCAGCATAACTAACTAATGGAGAACAATGACCGCTAACCCAATCTAGGTTAGATTGATAATGAGACATGAAAGTTCGTTTAGGCTATAAAAGTAAGCAGTAAATAGCTAGATACTGATGAGAAAACTTGTCGTGAGGCAGTTGCATGCTGTTACCTAATGCAGCTGACTTTTCCATCTCTCTTGCTTTCGGCCCCCGAATGCCCTGGTATGGCCGAGAGCGGGGTGGGTCCGCCCTCCCTCTCGAGATACTCTCACACGGCCATGTGTATACAGCCTCTGCCAGGGAAGTCCTACTCACTGCCTTCTCGTGGCAGGGGTGTTGTTTACGAAAATGAGACGACGAAAAGCAAATGTCCGGCGCTTTAACAGGATCCCGAACCAATGGTGCACATGGGCTCCAGTATCCTGCAGGAACAAATGGCGTATGAATCAATCGTTGGTCACCGGCTACCATGGGACTGCATCTCCTCACGATGCTCCACTGCCTTGTGGGTTAGACCTATAGGTCAAAGGCTCGGGGTGTGGCCCCCTAAGATAACCATCTGCTTCGGTTTGGGCACCCGGGCAGTATCACAGCCCACACGCAAATGATGAACTCTCTATAAATATGGAAACTACTTTTCTCGCTTCGAATAACAATCAAATGATTCAAATTATCATCATTACTATTATTGTGCCAGCTGGCGTCATCCCTCTGCATCTCAAGCGTGGACTCAGATTGATCACATCGCGATCAGCTACCGCTGGCGTGGTTGTGTACAAGACTGCCGCTCCTTTTGGAGTACCTATCTGGACTCTGACCATGCCTCGGTCTGCGCCAATCTTACCTTACTTTTCAGTGGCCAACGAAGTGACCGCCATCAACGGATTGATGTTAGCAAGCTGGTTGCAACTTCTGTTGCTAGTAAGTTACAAATCACCTGGCTCAGATGACTTACCTCCGGCTCTTTTTAAAGATGGTGGTGACTTTCTGACTAAGGGACTGACGACATTGTTTACAAAGGTTTGGGAGCTAGAGAGTGTACCAACGTCATGGAATGAGTCAATAGTTGTCCCTATCTTTAAAAAGGGTTCACGTCGTTCCTGTAACAACTATCGGGGGATAAGTCTACTTCCGATTGCGTCCAAGCTATTGGCTTCCGTCGTACGTCGTAGGTTGTTCAAAACCCGAGAAAGATTGACTTGCGGGGATCAGGTTGGTTTTCGTTCTGGTCGAGGATGTATTGATCATATCTTCACCCTCCGCCAAATGTTAGAACACCACCATACTTATCAAAGGCCAACAATCGTAGTGTTTCTTGACATCACGGCTGCCTTCGATTCGTTGGACAGGGCTGTTCTCTGGGATTTTCTATTGAATAAGGGTGTGCCTGAGAAGTTTATTAACATCCTAAAAGCCCTATATACAAACACGTCAGGTAGAGTGAGGGCATACAACCACCTTTCTCCATTGTTCCATTCGAGCAGTGGGGTAAGACAGGGTTGCCCAATCTCACCATTCCTCTTCAACTTCGCCATCGACGACACTCTGGAAACAGTTCTGATGGATGTAGGCAATTGCGGTGTGAATCTGTTGCCTGAAGAAAGACTTCTCGACCTTGAGTGTGCGGACGATATTGTCTTACTGTGTGATAGTGCCCAAGCCATGCAATCCACACTTAATCAGTTGGTAATCAGTGTCCGTAGGTACGGTACGGGCTTTGCAGCTCCGAAGTGCAAAGTACTTTTACAAGACTAGCAGGATTCTAATCCTGTACTCACCCTGGATGGTGAGCAGATAGACGTAGTCGAGAAGTTCGTGTATCTGGGTAGCTGCATAAGTGCTGGTGGTGGCGTGAGTGATGAGATCAATGCACGTATAATAAAAGCCAGAGATGCTTATGCCAATCTTGGCCACATTTGGCGCCTTCGTGATGTCAGTCTGGCTGTAAAAGGTCCGAACTACAACGCGTCAGTGAGAGCAGTTTTGCTCTATGCTTGTGAAACCTGATCTCTCCGAGTTGAGGATGTTAAACGACTCTCTGTGTTCGATCATCGTTGTCTCCGAAGGATTGCTGACATTCCATGGCAACACCATGTTAGTAATGCAGAGGTTCGGCATCGTGTGTTCGGACATAGAGACGATAATCCGATTAGTGTCACCATCTTGAAACACCGACTTCGGTGGCTTGGACATGTTCTACGAACGTCGTCCCAGAGAATTCCACGTTGTGCATTATTTGCCGACTCTGGGACTGGTTGTAAAAAGCGGAGAGATGGTCAGTGTAAGACATGGTGTCGTCGTATGAAAAAAAGCTGCAAAGGGCTGGCTTGTGTTGGTCCTTCACGACTCCCTGGCTGGGGTCCGAGAGATGATGCAACACGGTGGCTAGAGACATTATCAGATATGGCTCAGAATAGAAGCCAATGGCGATCCTGCTGTAACCTTCTTTTACTTTCTTCATAAAAAAGTGGTTGTGTCTTCCTTAACTGAAAGATTATTATTATTATTATTATTATTATTATTATTATTATTATTATTATTACTATTATTATTATTACACTACCATACACTAGTCTGTGGTCGTTATTGTTCCCTTTCTTCTCTCTTATACGCACCTTACATTCTTTTTCTCTTCCCATTGTCATTGTTTTGTGTGGCGCATATATATCTGGTGCCCTCTTGTATCAATATTTATGTGTTCAAATAAACAAATAAATAAACCGAAGTAGATGGTTTTCTTTGGGAGTCATATCCGGATCCTTTGACCTTAAGTCCTTGAGCCCATGGATAGCATTTATTTGGGAGTTAGGGTTTCGCAACTCTCTTAGGTGGTTATTCGTATCCACCAACGAGGTTTATGTGCCGGATATTCGTTTTCCTCCTTTCACTTTCGCCAATCAATAATTATGAAGAGACTTCAATTTGATCATTGGATAATGCCGTAGTTCAGCAATTTGTAATCATGTATACAACGCCTAAGCTACCTCGGCTGAGAATGTTGAGGACAGTTGTTTCTACAGAAACGTTCATATTTGGTAACAACTTTTAAATCATCCTTAAAATAGACAGTAAATATGGAGTTAGTTTTTCAACATGTGGTCCCATTAAAAAATTGGTTTTTCTGACTAGAACATATTTTACGTAAATCATTACAGTGTTTGCTGTACCAATCATTGATTAGTAAAAATGAAGATAAGGGCAGTTACGAGGCGACATAATAGGATAAAAAACGAATGTGTTGAAATAGGTAACTGTTAGAGCATTCTGTTTGTCTTCATAAGCTACGAGACAATGCAATCAAGTGGATTTAGACTCACAAATCCTTTATTCGAACAGTGTTAGACGATTGGAGGTAGTCGACAGGAAACCGTACTTAGGTTTTATGCCAGCTAACAGTCGTTAGCAAATTGCACCTGCAATCTTGAGGGAACTGATAGTTTCCATAAGATTCAAACAAGTGTCACTTAACTTTGCAGTCTGAAATATTACCGCCAAGCTATTCGGGTCATAACTGTGAGTGCTGGTCGAATTTCATCAATCAAATTGGAATGTGGCCACTACTCTAAGTGATTAAACATTGCATGCAGTACTTTGAGACGATATGTGCTAAGAAGTTACAGACAGAAACATCAATAACTTTACGAGGCCATTATATTAAATAGTAACGTCAAAAAGTATTTTCAGAAGGGGTTTTGTGGAGATTTTAGAAATTTCACTGGTTGAAATCATGAGTCAATTGAAGCTAGACCACCATGGAAAACCTGGAAGCACTGGACGGCTGTTTTGTCCTAGTATGGGACTCCTCAGCAGTGCGCATCCACGACCTCGCCCCCTGCGAGATTCGAACCCACGACCTACTGGTTTCGCGCGCGAGCATTTAACCATTAGACCATTGAACCGGCCGGCATCCAACGGTGTTAATGTCTAACTTCAACCAATCCACGAAGTTGAGCCACCGTACACCATTGGCCGTCCAGTGCTTCCAGGTTTTCCATGGTGATCTAGCTTCAACTGACTCATGAATTCAACCAGTGAAAAAGTATTTTGTTTAAAAATATCTGGTTGTATCTAAACAAATCACACGAGAATTCTACAAACCTTACTGGTGTAGAATCGTATTTATTACATGGTGAAATACAGTGTCAAGTATGTTATGTATAGATTCGAAGTCGAGCAGGTGAAGAAAAATATATGTGCATCATTTACTTTAACTAGAACATACCATTGGAGGAAATTTATTCTCATCATTCATTTTAATTTGTGGAGAAATATGATCACTGGTAAATGGTGATGATTTGTTTACGATTGGTGTAGATGGAGACATAAACATTGGAAGCAGTTTGCATGTACGACCATCGGTAGTTGGTGTATTAGACTTTTTCAAGTGATTCGGGGGTGTATTCGAACAATCGTTAAATGAATACGAACTATTTGTCGTTGACAATGAATTGGGATATTTAGTCGAAGCGATTTTCAGTCTTTCAGATTCAGTTACAAGTAATATACGTATGAGTTTAAAGGCTCCTCTACCTCGTAAACTTCCTCCTGCATGTAAGGGCTGGTACACAGGATAGAAAATAAGGAAAATTGACATTCAAATTGTAGACGAAATATAAAGTCGGATGAAAAATAAATAAGACTACACAATTGAGAGTCATACAGAATAAACTATTCGGAAATATTATTACTATTAACTCACTTACCAGGTGCAAATTTATGTACTTGATTTCGAGTCACACTTTGAGTCTGAGGGCTAGTGATACTACCTGGCTGTCTAAGATTAAAGTAGGTGGAACGGGATCCTAACCAGAGACGTATTGATTGAAGGTAGAACACCTTAACCACTGAGCCACTGTTCTATTTCAGAAGCATAGATCACCATGGAATTCTAAGGTGTAGTAATGCCGCTACAAATGGTCAGTCAGTCATAGACAACTTAAGAAGTAGGGATTAAAATACACATCGGTTTAATTTGCAATACCAATGTTAGCACAGGGAGGGTAAATTATCAGGGAGAACACGAAAAACCCTGTAATCATCAGCAACAGAAGCTTCATTCAACTGTCTGTTGTTCAAATTATAAACTCGGCTAAATAAATCAAATTAGTTATCCTTTACTTCTAATTTTAAAATTGTTCTTACATATATGATCACAAAGTATTACAGCATAGAAATTTTCGAAATGTCAATTATTCAAACGTTTTAATGCAACTCACTTATTAAGTACAAGTCTGCACATTGTCTTTCAGACACACCGTTTTAGGGCTGACTGTAATATTTGGATACTCCACAATCATAGTTGGTGGGACGAGGTTTGAACTACCAATGTAAAGATGACAAACCAAGTGTTGCAAACCACTATGAAACTGTCTCACATTCAAAAATAAATAGACGGCTTCTTAACATGAACTCAAACATTAAAGATATCAAATACCAGAGAAATAACTGGTTATGTGTGCCATTTTTTAGGATCTATTTCATGCAAATCTGAACTTACTAGTGTCCGTTCTAAATGTTTAGTTATTTTGAGGTTTGATTTGCTAAAACTTCCAACGCAATACAGTTTAACTAGTTCAACTAATAATCATCAGTTGTAAAAGATATTTTATATTTCATGAGATATTTATAATTTTCAAGATAGTAAACAAACTAACAGTTGAATACTCATAAATGCATACGAAATATAATTTGCCAACTATCATAGTTTCATTCTATATTAAAAAGGTTTTTTGAATCATTTACACTGTTTTTCATTAACTGAAAGATTACATATCAACTGTAATTACAAGATCTTGTCAAACCTGTGAAAACTATTTATTTATTTGAACACATAAATATTGATACAAGAGGGCACCAGATATATATGCGCCACACAAAACAATGACAATGGGAAGAGAAAAAGAATGTAAGGTGCGTATAAGAGAGAAGAAAGGGAACAATAACGACCACAGACTAGTGTATGGTAGTGTAATAATAATAGTAATAATAATAATAATAATAATAATAATAATAATAATAATAATAATAATAATAATAATAATAATAATAATAATAATAATAATAATAATAATAATAATAATAATCTTTCAGTTAAGGAAGACACAACCACTTTTTTATGAAGAAAGTAAAAGAAGGTTACAGCAGGATCGCCATTGGCTTCTATTCTGAGCCATATCTGATAATGTCTCTAGCCACCGTGTTGCATCATCTCTCGGACCCCAGCCAGGGAGTCGTGAAGGACCAACACAAGCCAGCCCTTTGCAGCTTTTTTTCATACGACGACACCATGTCTTACACTGACCATCTCTCCGCTTTTTACAACCAGTCCCAGAGTCGGCAAATAATGCACAACGTGGAATTCTCTGGGACGACGTTCGTAGAACATGTCCAAGCCACCGAAGTCGGTGTTTCAAGATGGTGACACTAATCGGATTATCGTCTCTATGTCCGAACACACGATGCCGAACCTCTGCATTACTAACATGGTGTTGCCACTGAATGTCAGCAATCCTTCGGAGACAACGATGATCGGACACAGAGAGTCGTCTAACATCCTCAACTCGGAGAGATCAGGTTTCACAAGCATAGAGCAAAACTGCTCTCGCTGACGCCACCACCAGCACTTATGTGGCTACCTAGATACACGGACACAAATAAAATGAAATGACAATGTGAAAACCGTCATATTCATTGATTTCCAAAGTTCTCTCAAATGCATTTGTACAACTGTCATGATATTATCATGGTCCTTCTTGAAGTACATAGTTAAATCTCCTTCGGATATAACTTCAAGTCAAAATGACTGATTAATCTTTTGTAACATCAAACAAATGATGATTAACTCAGGCACTAACCCTAACCAAGAGAAGGCAAATCTTTGAAGCAATCCGAGTTGACTAGGTAGAAATTGGATATCAAAATCATTTACGTATATTAATTCCAGCTCCATTGTATTTTTGTACACTTATTTAGAATTATTATTTGAAATATCAACATATGAATGAACATAACTCGAAAACACACCCAATGAAATAGTACAAATTTTAAAAAACTTCAGAAAAACTTAAGATCAAAACTCACTCTATCCGGTGTATCACGACACATGTTTGAAATAATATTTGTGGAAGACAATTGATAAATACGTTTAACAAGACTATCGCAGACAGTAGAGATTTCTGAAAAGTTGATAGTTGTCTTCATTTCTCCATGCATACTTTCATCAACTACACCAGGTTTCCGCAAAATACTACATGAAACACGAATACATTGACATACAGATTTCACAGCGTCATCAATGGTCATTAGTGAATTAGCAGTGCCCGATGCCAACAAACTATCATTAGAAGCCCCAGACAATACATCGTGACACCTATTGATAGAATCCACCAGATGAATCAAACCTGAAGACCACCGACGAAGCGGATGATCACATTCGGGAGCGTAGCTGGAGTCCCCTAACCTCATGCGACCAACAAATGAGATGGCTACCTAAAACAACGAGAATATTATAGTGAAAATTCCCATTTTGCCATCATGGCTCTGCACTAATATATATGTTTTACAATAATAATATAATACTCATCGAGTGGATACGTTACGCAATAATTACACGATGACATTTAAATTGACATTGAGTAATTGGAAGAAAGAGGATTATTAATATTCAAAGTAATTATTAAATCAAGAAGTTGCTATGTTGCTTAATATAAGAAACAGAGAAGGAACAGAATTTTAACGGATGTTCAATAGGATAGTAGTTACGTAAAAGTCAAGAGCTCAATGCTGAGAAGTTATAAAGTTCAAAAGCAATAGAAACAAAATTACAAAAATTAAAAAAAAAGAAGTGGAAGAAGTATGAAAAATCGTTCTTATGACGGAAATCTTATACTGAAGGCCAGGGCAGAGAAAGTGGTTGTACGAATTTCTTTTGGTTTGGTCAGGTTTGTGAACATGGATTGCGATGGCTTCCGCAATGTGCAAAAGGTGCACTCGTAAACCATGTGGTAGATTTGATGGAATATTGTAGATAACCTTAAAATCTTTATTCAATCCGACTTGATGAAGTGTGTCAACCAATTGAGAGAGAATAGAACTTTTAATCACTTTCACCTGTCCTTTGCTTAGTCATGTCGGATGATGTTCTGTAATGCGGTGACGGACCTGCCGAATTGTACGCCCTATGTAACTGGCTCCACAGGAGCAGTTGAAACGATAGATACACATAGATTTGGCGAATTCTGGCAGTCTGTCTTTAATGGATGTTCTTATTTTCGGGTGGTTGTAGAAGATGAAAAACTAATTGAAAAGAAATTTCTTCGCTCAACGAGAATATTAGTTGTTGGAGTAACCTAATGCAAAATATAGTAATGAAATAGAAGACAGTTTGTTAATTCAACCAAATCAAGTTGCTGAAAAGCGATTATGAAACTGCTTAAGTGTAGAACGGACATATCTGTGCGAATTCCACAATGTCGATGACTGACTGGATTCTACTCATACAACCTGAAACTTTAAAATGAAAAAAAAATCACAAAAATATAACAGTAGGTTATTATTCAAAAACGTTCATCTCCACTAATTGCGATAGATTCCAAAAAAATATAATTCAAGTTAATATAGGTGTAAATGCACTAACTTGAGTAACTGATAGATTATCTTGTCGAGCCAATTTTCGAAGCGATGTAAAAGTTTGTTCATTCAATGCTCGGTAAGGTAGGTTAAATATTCTTAAAAAACGTAAGGAATCCTTAATGTTAACTGCAAGTCCAAGATAACTGAGAAGGGTTTCAAGTAAGACACATTCCTAGATAAGTAAAATAAGTATAAAAAGATGACTTGCCTTGTATCGGGTGTTGAAATCAATCTCACATTGCCGAAGACAATAGAATTTGCTTTCAGTAGTTGAAAGACATGGAAAGCATAGGTGTGGTACATTAAAATCTGCCATAATTTCAACCATTAGATGCTATTTGATTGTATTTTATAACAATCAATCAATTGATTACCTCAAACCAATCTAATTTGTTCGACTGAACAATATAACGATAGTAGAATAACTTGGTTTTCAGTGCAGAATTTTCAAAGAATTCCTTCAACAAGCGACGAGCAATTAAAATCCGGTCAACTAAATTATTGGCCTTCAGGTATTCGTCAACCTTAGTACAAAACACGTATTCATTGTCGTCTACAAGAATTCGATGCCGATAAAGACGATGGCGACACATTCTATACCAAAAACGCGATATGTCTTCTTGTTTTATAGGGTACTGTAGGCATAAAGGTTTAAGGCAAATGTGCAAACTTTATCTTTGTCAAAATCACGTAAGACAAGTTGAATTAGCGTCAATTCGTCCTTGGGTAATATGTAGGTTTCTGTTGAAGAACCCTCAAGATCGAATTCCTGATGGGTTTCATAAAGAAACTGGATCAGAGAATAGACGTTCTCATAGGCTTCTGATCCCCCGTATGAATTTAAACCAATAAAAACAGGTGGATAATTTGACATACTCTAAAGTCCCATAAATAATGATCCGTTGTGCATGAAATATTAAAATTCAGTCCCAACAGAAGAATCTGTAAAAGAAATGGAAATAGCGTTGGTTGTCTTTTTGAGCAGAAACTTCACAATTTTTCAATCTTGGGAAAAAATTTTCCAACTTCATGAAAACTTTGTAGAGGTTTCAAAAGAACATTTTGGCACGTGTAGTGAAAGTCAGGGTAGCATGTGCCAATCTGGGCCACCCCTGGCGCCTTTGTGGTTAGTATGGATATAAAAAGTCAGAACAACGAACCAGTGAGAGCAGTTCTGCTCTATGCTTGTGAGACCTAGCTTCTCCGAGTTGAGGATGTCAGACAACTCTGTGTTCGATCATTGTCCCCGAAGGATTGCTGACATCCATTGGCAACACCATCTTAGTAATGTAGAGGTTCGGCATCGTGTTGGAGCAGAGCGATGACAATTTAGTGTCACCATCTTGAAATACCAACTACAATGGCTCGGATATGTCCTACGAATGTCGTCCCAGAGAATTCGTCGTGTATTATTTGCCGACGCTGGGATTGATAGAAAAAAGAGAAGTGATCAGCAGGACATGGTGTTGTGGCATGAAATTTGCACAGGACTGGCTTCTATTGGTCCTTTACGACTACTTAGTTGAGGTTCTAGAGATGGGGCAACATTGGTTGATACCTTGTTAGACGTGGCTCAGAACAGAAGTCAGTGGCAATCCTGCTCTAAATTTCATCAAAATGAACGTAAATTCTGTACTTGAAATAATTATCTATGGTTACACTTTTGCTAATCGAATTGTTTCTACATTATCATTATTATTCCACTCATACACTAATTTCTGTTTTTTGTTGCTCACTTATTATACGCGCTTTACATTATCCCTTCACAGCCTCATTATTGTTGTGTGGCACGTACGTATTTGGTTACCCTTATAACCACTGCTTGTGTTTAAATGAATTTAATAAAAACCCTCAAATTCCAGTAAGACTGAGGTTATTCCCCAGAATTTTAAATAATTTCGAAGAAATTCACAAAACGTTTAGAGGAAATTTAGGTTTTCTCCAAAATTACCAAAATATTTGAGAAAATTCATTGAAGTTCACCAATAAAAATTTTAAGCTTCCCCACAGTTTAGGAAAAAACGTATGAACTTCATTGCGAAGCACCCAGAACTTTCTGTGTATATAAGCGTTTTTTTATTTGCAGTTTATTTCGCAAACTTAACGCAATTCAAATATGGTCGCGCGATTGTTTTTAACATCAACTTGTCTGTTGTAACAAACATTTATAAAGCTGTGATTAACGTCGCTCGCATAAACATTCCACAAGTAACTACGTAAATGATTCTTAGGAGATATAATGTGGACATGCAAACAATTAGTCAGTCAGCTACAACGTAGGACCAGGCACATATATACATCGGTTCCAGTTGCCACACCTCATTAGCACAACAAGATGAACACCAAATTCATAGCAGTTACTTTACTGGTAGTAATATACAATATTTATGTGTTCAAATAAATAATAATGAATAAGTAATATATTAAAAAAGAATGCATATAAGGACACAGGAAGAAAGAATTAGTTCATAGAAAGATATAAACCAATTTTAATCTCACAGTTTAAGGGAAGATAATGAGTGTATACACCTACATCATTGTGATCGATTCTGAGCGATGTCACATACAGTCTCAAACCATTGGTTACGATAGTCGCGCTGACCCCAACCAAGTAGTCTGCATCTACCGACATGCCACAGACCAGAAGTCAGTGACTCCAAGGAGTGATGCCTCGTTTCGGTGTGGCCGTCACTAACTTTTTTCCAACCAACCTCAACAGTAGTCATCATCGCGCGTCTTGGTAATCGGTGTTCAGCCATACGTTGTTGTTTCTCTCTAGACAGTGGGGTGTTGCTTGCTTTCCCCTGGTGTATGGGAATGTATGGGGAAATATTAGTAGACACCCAATTCTGAATACCGTTGCTTAAACTAACAGACCAGGAAAAATTCTTGAATTTCCACACGCATTTCCCCAGGATTTCCATAAAACTTAGTGAAACAAAATTTCCCCATAGTAAGGCAATCGGATGTTAATCAATTAGCAATAATGCGAGATAAAACACAAATGAGAATCGGGAAACTATAAACAAACATAAAGCATGAAGTCAATAATAAGTGCATGTACCTGAAAAGGGAGGAATAAAATAAATTTGAATTACGCCCAGTCAACGCTCCTGGGGTATCGTCCACTGACAGGGGTTGCGAGCACTTGAAGGTCAAACTGTCGCAAGATGATTGGTGCGTCACATCGACAATTCGTGAAAATTTTCAGAAGCGGACAAATCAAGACATTTTTAGGTTTGAATTGAGTTCAGCCACACCATGTCTGTTCATTCTTCAAGTAACAAAGACGATGCCATCGTGATGATGCATGATGTAGGACGAATCTTCAATGACATATAGTGACTTTGGAGTTATCGTTAGTCAAGACTTAAAGACTACTGCACACTGCCGTGCAATAGCCGCCAAAGGTATTAGAATGTTATGGTCAATACGTAGAGCTTTTAGTCATGTCGACGCTAAAACGTTTTTGACTTTGTATACAGTGTTCGTTCGTCCTAAACTTCAGTACTGCATACAAGCGGCTAGCCCCTGCTTAAAAAAAGACAGTGAACTTCTGGAAAAGGTTCAGAGAACGGCGACTAAGCTGATTCCCGGAATAGCGAAGCTTCCGTATGAATCTCGACTGGCCAAGCTGAACCTTTTCCCGTCGTCATATCGCAGAACTAGAGGCGACTTGATTACAGTCTACAAATTGCTTAGTGATAAATTTGCACCTGATATGCCCTCATTTTTCTTGTCTTTCAAAACAGAGAATTTACGAGGACACTCCAAAAAAGTTCATAAGCCAAGAACAAATTACTTGTCAGCTGACTATCGACTTTCACATCGAATCATCAACGAGTGGAATTCACTACCTCAGCACGTGGTTGAGGCTCCATCCGTCGACTCTTTCAAAAGAAAGTTGGATCAACTGAGAGACCACCATTGCCAGGACTAACATAGGCCACCGAGCCACCTGTCCTTCCCAAACTGTAAATATTATGTTATCTCGTAGATTTACAAGTTGGGACAATCTTGAGACCTGTTTGAAAGAAGTACATAAGGTAATATGACTTCTGTGGTTAATAATTACTTTGTTAGTATACGCGTACTGAGTATGTTATGTCAGTGTGCAAAAAGAACAGTGATGATCCAACTCTAAAGTACTTTTTCGTGAGATATGTCTGTACATATGGACGTAAACGCAGTTCGTCAGAGTCAGATGCTTGCGTTCAGGATATAGATAATGATAGTAATCCTCATTCTTCTGAAGAGCGTACAACTTCTAACTCGCCAACACAACCTAGGTAAAGGAGGCGACGTCGTTCATCTACGTATGCCTTACTTCAAATGAATTTATCCTTCAGGTCGAAATATTGCCATTGTCAATCTGGATTTTGGGTCCGGGCAGTAAATGGTGAGCTGAAAGTCACCTCTATCAAAACCGTGCACAACCATCCTTGCACAGAAGGATATATTTCTGTCGATCCATCGAGACGACAGTTGACGTCAAGTGAACGCTTGTAATTAAGAACGTTTCTACTGAGTAATACACCAACACGTAGATTACGGCATATGGTTTCTTGGAAATTCCATAACCAACTTACAAAGGACGACATCGCCAAAACGAGTTCATAGTTATACCCAGGTTGTTGAACTCACATTGTAATTAATTGAGTTTAGACATTAAAAATATCAATGACATCTTACAGCGTGTTCAAGCGAACACTGAAGTAAAAGTATTCAATGAAAATGGGAATATATCTATGATTTGCTTCAGCGTCAAGGAGCAAATAGCTGTTTACCACGCGTTCCCAGAGGTAATATGCATTGATTCGACTTATCAGACCAACAAAGTTGGGTAAGTAACGATCAGTAATAAATTTATCTTGAAGTTTTCCACTGTTCCAGCTATTGATGATTGATAGTCTTGGGCAAGAGCACACTATTTTGTATGCTCTTTGCAGGCAAAAACGACGCTAAAATGTCGTAAAATTATTGCAATGCTTTAAAGACATAATGTGCGTTTGTGTGTGTTCCTTTGTCTCTATAAGCTTTGCAGACTTATTTCGACATAGCAACTGGTGGACACGGAAATACATAATGGACATGGTTCTTCGTGCGCTGGACAACATGTCAATCTCTACAGAAAGTGGTGATCTGCTAGAAAAGTTCGCTAACAACTACTACTCAATCCATGCTCTTAGTGAACATTTGGCCAGTAAACTAATCCGTTCATGCCTCGAAGCATCGGAAGACATATACGCACAAGTGATGAGTTCAATCGGTGCTAATGATGAAGCTACAACATCAGAATCCTTTGTTAACACAGACCATAGATATGCTTCTTGTAACAAAAAGTTCTAATATTGTAAACTTTTTAGTTTTACATAAATTCATTTATATGGCCATTAACTTATTCTTATAGCGTAACAGCAGGGAGAGTGTACTGTGCAGTCTTATGTGGCTGTGAGACAGGGATGTTGTTTCGCGTTCTTGTGTGATAATTACCAGTTTGGCGCACACGCGATTAGTCATGTATACCGTTTACCAAATACTGCAACCTTGAACATGGTGTACCATACTATTAGTTCGAATTTCGACTTTTCACGATAGATAAGAATTGCCGTAATTAGAAGACTGACGCGTTATAAATGAAAACGTTTATTAAAGTTTGAATCTAGCACAAATGATCCATTAATAAATAACTTCTATTTCTTAGGAATTGTTCCCGTTACGTCCCTGAACACTTGCGAAGCCAGCTGGAAATATATAGGAAATACTTATTGCAGTATAAATGTTTACCAGAAACTGGAATAAAAAGGGAAACTAGTACTCCATTACAGATCAAAAGTGCATTTAGCACACCCTTTCTTTGGATAGTCAATCACG